ATCTGAATTTATTTTTGAGGTACACCACTTTTATCCCCAGTGTCATTTGGCTGTGGATAACAGAGAAGCCAAAGTTGATTGTTTACGAGTGAATTCTGAATTCATTCATTCACAGTGGCAAATATGGCGATATCCTAACCTCTCAGAACAATCTCTGCACCATGGCAACCTTGAGCTATGTGCTACCTCAATTGATTTGTGTGCTTCTCGACACCCGCAGATGTCTGTAAGACCAAAATTAGCCAAAAATTCTCTCTCTTTTTTTTTTTTAGCAATCCAACCAAGTAGCATAACTCTACAGGTGATGCAACTTATCAGGTACTGCCAGGTATCGTTTCCATTTTCAGCTTTTAAGGCAAAAGGCTCAACAGTGGATCAGAGAGTTGAATTGAAATTTGCCATTTACTTCAAGTAAGAACCGAGACATCCATTGAGGCAAATCAATTCTATACTGTATATACCATGCTTTTTTTGGACATCAAAAACTTTTTTTTTTTTCCTGGTAACACACACATTATAAACCATCTTGTTAAACAAACACACAACCTAGGGATTGCTTTGCCAATACCAAAGGGACTAACCATATTCTCCAAAAAAATGTCCAATTATAAAATAGACTTCTACCAACACCAAATTTTAACAGAATACTTGCATTTAAGTACTAATATCCCATGCAAATATTTATATAGTTTTTCTTTGACTAATATAATTGGCGAAAAGACATGCAGCTCCAAACACAAAAACTGTAATAATCCTGCCTACTTCTGAATAAGTTACTGACCAAGTAAATATGATTTATGTCTAAAGGCAAATAAAGGTTTCTATGGCACTAAATGGGTGTAGCTTAGGTGCATTTTTGTCAAATATAGGCTATTTACGAGTATGTGTGATCATATCTACTGTAGACCTTGTCCCTCTTGTTTTACTGTACTGTAAGGCAATCTCAATGGAATGGATGAACATGAATGTTAAATTCATCTGAACTCTTGTCCTCTGTTTGCCTTGTAGGCTACACTCCACACAAATATATGTATAGAGAAAGAAGAGTGATATTACACAACAGCAGGCCTATACTCCCACAATAATGCCAAAAGAAAAAACCCTATCCAGACCCTCAATGCAGGAAGACTACTACACATACTGTATAATATGTAGAGAATTAGGTTATTACATGCTACCTGTATAATCATATCTACGCAAGACAAATGAAGAGCAACAGTTTAAAGTCGGGAGAAAGGAAATTGTCCTGCTCTAAACTGACCCTACATTCATTTCAGTCAGAAAATTCATGGCTCAGATTTGATGGTCAGACTGTAAACTGCTTGAACATATGCATAAATCCATTGCTGCTTTACTAAGAGGTTTTACCCTCTCGACATGTTTTGGCAAACAGGCCTCATTTGTGACCAAAGATTATAACATCTAACCCGCATTTAAATCTTCCATTGGCATTTATGCTATGATTTACTGAATTGGCCTAAATTGATGGCAGTGCAATATTTGTGCTGCACACTATTACACACACGCTCTATTGCTACAATTGGACCTTTCATTGCTTTCTGACTCCAAATATATTGTATATGCTCCATTTGTTTAATCGTTAACTATATCAAAGAAGTGATCTAGCTCCATGCACAGTCACTCAGTTATCACTGATACACACAAATAAAAATAAAAAATAAAAAAAGCATGTATAAGAATACTGTGATACAACAAAAGGATTCAGTTACAACTTGTGTAGTTGCAAAGGGGCAATGGCTCCATTTACTGGTCAGATAAGGACATCACAAGAGAGAAAAAATCCCTGCCTGAACAGACCACAGCACCTACAGATGGCAGAGAGAGTATGTAGAGTATTTTGAGGAGCCTGCCTGAGGTGTCTGTTGAATCACTGGACTGACTTTAAGTGACTTAGGCCAGAGTCTGCATTATTAACAGTAGGCTGGGTAATGTAACCTTGTCACTCTGTTGGGCCAGTGGCCCAGAAATAGATAACACGCAAAAAGTCAGTGGGCAGTGTACACTGTCCCGAAGTGCTTAGACACTTTTTTTTTTTTTTTTTTTTTTAAATAATGCATTGTTAGAGTACAATTTTGTTGCAGCCTTTGCTTGTCTTTTGCAACCCTACCTTCCTGTATTCAGCAGCAACACACATGCATGTAAACATAAGTACATACATTACATCTGCTCTTTTGCACACTTAGAACCTGAATGTACTAAAGTGCGTGCTTGACTATTTAATTAAGTGCTGTGGGATTAGGGTTACAAAGGAATTAAATTATGGAACATCCCATCAAAAAAATGTAGACGTAATCATCCTGCTGAGATCTGATTGGATTAATAAATTCTGACTGCTGCTTTAGCACAGATCCTGAGATTACAAAGAAATATGTACCTATCCCTAATATTCACAATAATGAAAATTATTAATTGATCAAGAGACCAAAAGGCTGGGGGTCACCAATTAGTTCCATTTCATTTCAGTCAGTTATGGAAGTCAATTGAATTGCCAACTATGAATCTATGACACTAACTCTGAGAAATCACTGCTCTGAAATGGAGTTAATGTCAGTTTTAAGTCAGTCAAGTAAAATATGGTAATGTGAAACACTTTTCGCAGGGGTATATAACAACATAGCCTAGTCTAGGTCCTCATCTCTCATCCAGTCAACTAATGTGTGCAATTGTGCCACTTCATTATCAGTGGATATGAAGTTATCACGCCAATGAAAACAATCTTACTCAGTGTAATTTAACCACCAGCAGATGGTTTTAAAAAAAAAGACGACAAAATAGCATAGATATAACATCTAAAAGTCACAAACAGCTCTAGTGGTCCGATACAATCATCTTTAGTATGCTTAGTACCAGAAATGGGATGAGGAGACAACAAAATGAACACCAAAAAAGCACATATTTGGATTTCTGCTATTCCTGAAATCTAAACAACAGGTATTGGCCTAAGCAAAGATCCCTCTCCTTTTCTTCTTAGCCCTATTTGCTTCTATAAGGGATATCAGCTCCCTGGTCATTGATAATGCCACGGCATATAAAGATAAGCCAGGCGAAGTTTTTCCACTAGATACTATGGTGCAACTGTGGTTCAATGTTGTTGCTATCAAATGGGTGGAAAGATAATCAGTCTCAGGGCTCGTCATACTCTGTCATTACGCAATCCAACTGAAATGATGTGTTACGGAAGGCATGGGTCAAAAGGCATTTCATGAGATGCCATAAAGGCAGTCCAGTGCATTTGTGTTGACACTGACAGTAAAATGCCCGGCACACACAGAGCCATTCGTTTAGTCTTTAGGTAATTTTTCATGAAATAATAAAAACGGAAAAAAAGAAAAGAAAAGAAAAAAAAAAAAAAACACATTCCAGGGAAACAAAAGCCCTTGTGACAGTGATTGTCTATTCAATAACGTTAAACAAAAAAGGCCAAAAGAAAATATTGCTTGAAAACTGCCCAATAAAACTAGCAGACAACACTCTTATCTTTCAGTTATAATAATTGATCAGAGTTGACAACCGAGAAGTTGAGATCTAAGCTATTAGATGTTTAAGACTAGTTCACCAGCTCCGAGCAATACTCGAGATACTGCTGATGGCCGGTTCAACTTCAGAAACACAACAAAAAAAAAAAAAAGAAAAGAAAATGAAAGAAAAAGAAAAAAGAAAAAAAACTCATTAGTGCCTAAAAACCAAAACTGATTGCTCTCTTTCAATAATTAGGCCATTCGAAGTCTGAAATCTTTTCCAAAAAACACTGTTAAAGAGATGGGAAATAAATTGAAATGGCTTGTTCATTTATGTGCTCAGATATATGATGCTTTGATGAGGTGTTGTTGGCAGATATTACTAGTAAAGCCTTCATCTAGAAATAAACAAGGCCTCAGTCAGTCACTATCCTACAGTAGTTCTCTAGTCCTACAAAAAGAGAACATTAGGCCTACGGACCCTGGGTGAAGATGAAGCAGCTGCTAAACGAGTTGACGAGGTATATCAAGATCTATTGTCTTTCTCTATACAGTACAGTTCATCTCAAATAAATAATTTATAGCCATAGTAGTGTTGATCAACTTTGGTCATAACTTATATGCTTAGAAACATTCTAGCTTAACAAACACTTATTTAGCATCTTTAAAACATGAAGTCAGCATCAAGAACAAATTGATGTTACAATGCTGACCCGAACATGGCTCTCCTTTGGAAGGAGACGTGCTAATGTATTCAGCAGCATTACCAAATTATCTTAAAATGCCAAACAATTCTAGGCTGTACGTTTAAAGTACACTATGGAATTAACATCTTTGTGACCCTTTTCCAAATTTCAGATTGTACTGTAGTACACAAGCATTGCACTCTTAAGCAAAATTTAGATTTTTCCCTTGTGTGGTTCCTTCATAAAAATCTAAGCTAACGGACAATTAAAAACAAAAACAAAAAAAAAAAAAGAAAAAGAAAAAGAAAGAAAAAAATAATCAAAAATCAAACAAAGAAACTCTTTGATCATTCTTTTGGGAAGGCTGTATGTTCCTCTACAAGGTCACCACAACTGATTAAACATGATATGACTTTTATACTGAATGATATGAAGAGAAAGACAGTCGAGGATACAGAGATTTCCATGCTCTTAAATGTTGGTTATATAATTATGTCAACATGGTTTTAAAGGGTTAAATGATTTAGAGATGGCCAGATTGCTAGTGTTTGTTTTGGATGCCACACTTCATCTGAGTGACCTTGTAGAGCAATCTGCCTCTACGTATTAAGCACTACTAGGAGATGGAGGAATGGGATCTAATTGCATATTAGGTTTGACTGCACCTCAAGAGAAGACCAAACACTCACGCACACACAGACGCACAAACACATACATACACAGAGAACAGACATGTGGGTGGGTGCTCTCCTGGTCCTCTGGGCCATGTTAAAGGGAGTCACCCCCTGGTGGTGATGATGGTGATAGCAGCTGACTGAGGGGGGAGCACGTGACCTCACTCAGACAGACACCCGTCCAGGCCAACCGGTGCACCGTGACGGTCTTTGACGTAGCCGTTGTGGAGGCCGTTGCTGGGCAAGGGGGCGCAGGCGGCGGTGATGCCGCAGTGCTTCAGCAAGTTGAGACCCGGGGAGGGGGAGACAGTGGGAGAGGAGCAGGAGCAGGAGGAAGGGTCCCGCTGGGGGAAAGGCTTCATGGTAGAGAGGATCAGAGCCAGGCAGTCAGCCACATCCTTGTTGGGAGCACAGGCCAAAGCTGGGGTGTGGCCTGATTGACAACAACACATTCACATTAGTGCACACATACTGCTTGAACACCACATGAATTAGATCAACTTTCTAAAGCTGCTCCGACCAACGGATCAAACGACTGCGTGTAATGTCAAAAGTGTCACTCACAGTGATGAATCACCTGATGTTTCAGTGAGTTCTAGAGTGAGTGAGTGTTTTCATGTTTTTAATTCATTTATTTCGTTTTATAGCCTGCAACTTTCCTGTTTGGCTTCACTCTCATTAGTGTCATTTTAAGCAGCAGCAGGAAGCGGTTTTCAATAAAAAGCTCTGAAAATCTAATGTGTGCCATCTGCATAACACCAAAGGACACACAGAAAAAGTTAGTGACTAACTGGTGAATATAGTGGAGCATTTAGCAGCTAAAGAGCCATATATTTTCCTCAGGAGTTGGTAGAAAACAAAAACAGCTGACAATGAATATTGGGCTTGTGTTTACAGCTTGTTAGCTGCTCCCAAGAAGCCAAAAAAATCTATTGATGCCGGTGTAAATAAATAATAATGCTTGGGTTTTTGCATATTTAACACAAATGAAACTGTGTCAAGAAATCAAACTAACAAACAAAGACAACTTGAATATTGTCATGAGGGTAATATAAAAGGTTTTTGTTAAGTATCTGACTTTTGCAAGAACATTAACTCAAGACCTCAGATGACTCTTTAAAACATGTGCGTTCAACTTTACTTCCACACAAGGTTAACATAACTTTGATATAAGATTTACATTGAACAGGCTGTCCAGAACAAGTATGTTTTTCAGGTTTGCAAGAGGATAGGATCATCAAAAATATTGTGTTATGTGAAAATTGCTAGGCAAAAAACAAAAGAAACAATCACATAATTTATAGCAAATATGCTAAAACAAAGATTCTTGCCTGATCAAATACACTACTTCCAATCATCCAGTGTAATTAAAGATAAAATGCTGACAGAGATCAGGAGTGCCTCACCTTCCTCATCCACAGCCAGCACAGTGGCTCCTCTGCTCAGCAGTGCCTGCACCACCGTAGCCAGGCCATTACGTGCTGCAAGATGGAGGGGCCTGGAGGAGAGCGAGGGAAAGGCTGAGAAACAGCTGGCAGACCAACGAATCAGCAACTAATTAACTGTAACATTTCAACATGTAAAGAATACTGGAAACATATAAGATCCAGCCTCAGAGTATTGGTTACACAAGTGTTGTGTGAACAAACATTTGTCACAATTACCAAAAGATCTTAAAATATTTATACTCTTATTATTTTGACTAAAACAAAGAATGAACACTTGGACAAACATGGCCAGTATTTCAAGTATTGGCCTAAAAGTGGTTTTACTTAATTGGGAAAGTAAACTTAGAAATGTTATAAGCTTCTCACATTTGCAGAGCACTGTTGGTGGCGTTTATGAGTGTGGGACTGTGGATCTCTCCCAGAATCAGCAGGGCACACATCTCATGAGCCTGAAGGACAAAACAGAAAGACAGTGAAACTAGAATCACCACATTGTGGTTGTATGGCTCTGCCAACCAGTGGAGTTGCAGGAAATATGGTCACAGTCTCCCCTCTGTTCCTGAGTTACAGTGCTGAATAATGGCAAAAGGGTTTTTGCAGAACATTATGATGTCACAGTCAAGTTGACCTTTGACCATTTGGATATAAAATGTCATCACTTCATCATTTTGTCCTCTTAGACATTTGTGTTAAATTGTGTCATAATTAGTGTATGAATTCTTGAGTTATGGCAAAAATGTATTTTGTGAGGTCACAGTGACCTTGACCGTCAGCATTCACAGAAAGTGTAGCCAATTACGTTGAGGTGTTTAACATAAAACCATTCTTATTAAAGAGAAACTGTACTTGCTCAAATACGATTCCTTGTAATAGACAGGGAGGTAAATCTCAGCACACTACAGTGGAGCTTTGACTTTAGGATCTAGTGGATAATTGTGTTGTGTACCTTGCTGCAGGCCAGGTGCAGGGCAGTGTTCCTGTTCTCATCAAGCAGTGTCAGGTCAGCCTTGGCCCGGTGAAGGAGGATGGCTGGACAACACAAAGAGACAAAAACATTTATTTCCTGTGACTACAGATGTCCCCATCAGACAAATATAGTCAGAGGGGATGCACGACCTTGACTTTGGCATACAGCTATGCATTGTTAAAAACAACTTGTTCTTAATAATGATACCACAAGATTAACAGGTGCGACTTACCCACGGTGCCACTGTGTCCCTTGTCAGCAGCTACCATCAGAGCAGAGCGTCCACTTTTGTCCACTGCATTGATCTCTGCCCCATGGCGAAGCACCAGCTGAAGTCCTGCGACATCCTCAGCAAATGCAGCAGCATGCAGTGGGGTCCTACAGGCGCGCACACACACACACACACACACACACACACACACACACACACACACACACACAGAGTTCAACCAATTACTGTATGATCAGTGCTACAGCCTCTGGGGCTCTGGCAAACTTAAAGCACAAAGTTCAAGAATTTCATGACTGATGATTTGAGATATAAGGAACAGGGACAGGTAACAATACTAACTCTATAATGATGAGAAATACCTCTAGAACAGTATATACCTGCAAATTTCTCTGAGACTTTATGTTAAATGATTTCTTTCTGATCATAATTGTTCCAAAATAATCTAGTCTTGTTTTGTAGCCTCACCTTCCTTTGGCATCTCTGGTGTTAATCATGTGGACCCCAGCAGATTCCAGCAGCCTCTCTGCAGCACCACTATGGCCATTCATCCTAAAAGAAAGGCAGCTGAGTTAATGGAGTGCTGATTTAATCTAAATCAGCCAAACCCTAATTAGGGTGTTTTTTTTTTTTTTTTTTTTTTTTTTTTTTTAAATAAAAGTAATTAGTTTTGACACACTGAGACCCGAGATGAGCACTTATACCAAGTTAATACTCACAGAGCACAGTGCAGGGGGGTGAAAGGGTTTCCCTCTTCATGGATAAATGTTTTAAATTCAAGTAAAACCTCCAAACAGTCTTCATGCCCTGAGAACAAACACACTTTATTATATTATAGACAACAGATGTGACCATGATTAACTGCGACACTTAAGTTTGGGGATTAGCCATTTCAAGTTGATCAAACTGAGCAAACCTTTGTAAGCAGCCCAGTGTAATGGGGTGTATTGTTTGTTGTCCAGCAGTTTATCTTGCGGGTCTGTTGCCATGGCGGCCTGCACCAGACTGGCCAGGATTTCTGTGTGGCCTCTGGATGCAGCGTAGTGCAGAGGTGTCCTACCCTGGGCGTCCCGACACAGTGCAGAAGCTTTGTGCTCCAGCAAGGCTGTCACACAGTCATCATGGCCCAACACCGCCTGAGCAAAGACCAGCAAGGTGTGATGAGACAAACTTGTAATAAACTGTCTGGAAAACCATGAATGTAAATATAAATAATTTTTCTTCATATTCATTTGTTACATATTATACTCCTGGGTCACGGCAGTATTAATAGATCTAGGTTACTTTCCTGGACAGGGACCATTACTATATTAAGGAAGGTCGTTTAATAAATATCTTCATTGAAATTTGTTTTAACCTATGACTAAGAGGAGTCTCTAGCCAGGATAAAGGTCACCTAGCATGCCTTGGCAACTCTTGATCTGATCCCTAAGACACCTTAACAGATGGTGCCATTGGGAATTAAAAAAAAAAAAAAGGCTTTAGCCTTTATCATTTTTCTATGTCAATATCTTACTGTTTGCTGACAAGGCGATGTGGCGACTCTGCTAGATGCAGCATCTCAATAAGGTAGATTTTTACACACGTCTCCAGTTTAACTACATTATCTAATATACTTTATATGAAAGTGAAAATGAAGGACAATTTGGTTCACTATTGTGACTGTGTAGTGAATAATGACCTCTACTTGAATACAGTATGTAACCTCATGCAGTGTTTGACTTACCCCTCTGTGCAAAGCTGTGCTACCCCTCTTGTCCTTGGCATCTGGCAAGGCACCCTTCTCCAACAGGAAGTGGACACAGTCAGTGTGACCTCCCAGAACAGCTAGCATCAGAGGGGTCCTGAAGGTGACAGAAATAACAATTTAGAAGTGTATTGTCACTGTATTAGCTTTTGGCAAGAGCTGATTGTACAAACTGAAGCCACAAAGAAAAACAACTCACTGGCCAAATTTGTCTGCAACGTTGGTGAGATCCCCCTCCTCCCCATAATCAATCATCATGCGCAGGCAGTCTGAGTGACCATTGGAAGCTGGAGTGAAACAGAGCACAAGAGTGGGAATTTTAAAAACATAGACGTATATTCTTATTAAAACAAAACTGACTCTTTTCGAAGTGGTAAGAACCAGAAACAATTGTAATAACATGAAATATTCCAGCATACCTGCAACATGAATTGGAGTCCACATGAGGCGGTTGTCATTGAGGAGGCAGGAGGCCCCCTGAGCCAACAACACCTCAACACAGCGGGCGTAGCCTTTCTGGGCAGCCAAGTAGAGCACAGAACGGCCTGCAGCATCCTGCATGTCCACATAGGCTGCAGTCTCAGTCAGCACACGCAGCGCCTGCCAGTGGCCCTTATCAGCCTGAGGGAGCACACGGGAAGTCAGTCACAACTTTGTATTTAGTCAAGATTAAGAGGCCAATTATAGTAAGTGTCAGCCCAGAGAGTTGAATGTGAAAAACTTACAGCAAGATGCAGTGGACTGACTGGAATACTGCTCTCTATGTCTCCTAGTGCGTTAAAGGACATCTCCAGGAGCTAAAAGAATAAATATATACAGAGGATTTCATTTTATTTACTGAGGAAAGAAGATGCGTTCTAGTAAACTTGTATATTTAATATGTTGTATATATTCCTGATTTAGCAAGTCCACCACATCTGAAGTACATTCGCCTATTTTTCATACTCAGTTGTTTTTGTCTTTAAAACTTGAAAAATGTCTTAAACAATGAATCTATCAAAAAAAATAGCCAATTAATGAAATTGAGTAATCAAACAATTGATGCAGCTCATTTTTGAGCACCATTTAGCAGAGGCATTTTGATCAATGAACAAAGGTTACGTTGTGAGGTGATCTCAGGTTAATCAGAGGAACGCACCAGCTCCAGGTTTTGTTTGTTGCCATGGTAAGCTGCATAGTGAACAGCACTGTAACCCTTTGAGTTGACCATCGATGGATCAGCACCATTGTCCAAAAGATGCTCCAAGCAGCTATTAGAAAAAGACAGGAAATAAAATGTAGAGAGCAGCAGCATTTAATTCAACGGCCTTCAGGCTCAAATGTTTCCCAAACAAACTTAGTGTCAGTTTATTCAATTTTAAGACTTAATCATACTGCTCATGGGCAGACGCAGGAGAGGGCAGTATAAATAAACATAGATAAACTCACAAGTACGACTCCTTCGCCTCATCTTCATCATTCTGATGGTTCCCAGAAAAATGACGGTCAACTCTGGAAAGAATAAGAAATTCTTTTTATATTATCAAATACACTGCAAAACTGCCCATTCCTGGATGTGTTGTTTAGACAGTTACATTGCTGACTAAGAAAGTTTTTTCATGCTAAGCTCAGAAGTGAATGTGATTCAACTATGAACCCAGATATTCATATTACTTTAAATGAAACTGTACAGTTGTTGAAGTCAATGAGCTTGAGTAATAAGAGAAAAAGCACAACAAGCTAAGACACAGAGTCAAGAAATAAAGTTGACAACCGTTGACTTTCTGTCAGACTTGAACAGAATTTGTGGCTTGTGCTGCTTCTCCTGTTTCTGAAAAAGTGCAGATTGAGAGAGACGAAGTTTTCCAACCTGCTGAAGGCTTGGGAGGCGGCAGAGTAGTGCAGGGGAGTACAGCCTGTCTGGTCAGGCTCGTTGACCTCAGCGCCAGCGCTCACCAGGGTCACAGTGCACTGGTACCTCCCATTAGCAGCCGCATAGTGCAACGGTGTCCTATAGGGAGAATGCAAGGAGAGAGACAAAACAGTCACTCAGAATGATGATTAATGAATGTTACAGGATTAGCAAATTAAGAACACAGACATCTATTTTGGGTGAGGGGAAACTCACCTTCCCATTATGTCCCTCTTGTTTAAGTCGGTACCGCTACTTAAGAGCAAGTTCAGACATTCAACATTTCTGTAGAGACAGATGACCATGACAGGAAATTAAGTTGAAGGAACAGACGACATGTGATAGCATAACTTTTTAGGTCATTTTAATATTCCAGTGCCAAGGCAGATTGTGTGTCTTACCCTCCAGAGGCAGCAGCGTGTAGACAGGTCCTCCCAAAGTTGTCAGGGGTGTTTATGTCAAACCCAGCTGATAGTACATGCTCCTTACTCATGGATGAAACTATACTATACAGCTGACCTGTAGGGTAATGAAGAAAAAGCTGGCGGTAACAGTCATGTCGAAGTACACATACAAACATAGATATAGAAGATTAAGTAACCAGGGCGCACACATCCATGGGACAAACCTGAGGAGAGTAACTTGCGACAACAGTCTGAAAACCCGTACAGCACAGCTAAGTGCAAGGGGAACATTCCATGGATCCCACGTCTAGAAAAGTAAAAAAGACAGAACAAAACTTTACAGACCAAATACTCAATATCAAAAATGTAACCCCACTTAAAACCCACTGTTTAATAGCATGAAGCTCATACATTAATGCTTCTTTGTATTGCTTAAGTGTGTTTTTACAACCTCGTGACACTATTATTCGCTCGCATCAGTAATACCACTTAAGGCTTTTCCGATACCTGGCCGTGTCTGCTCCGTTGGTCATCAGCGTGCTGATCAGCAGTTCATGGCCATACTTAGCAGCAACGTGGAGAGGAGTATTGCCATACTTATCCACACAATCAATTTCCCCACCTGATGGAAAGAAAGGAAGAGGGTGTAAATCAAAGACCCATTAAGAGAAAAGCCTCCACTAACATATTCTCACAGATCAGTCAAACAGCACAGTCATTGTTACCATTCTGGATGAGGATCTGAGAGCGTGTGAAGCGTCCATGAATGGCTGCCATGTGCAAGGGGCTCTTCCCTTCTTTGCTCTGTAAGAAAAAAAAAAAAAGTATAAAATCATATTCTTTCACCTTAGATGTGAATCAGAGATCAGTACAATAGATTTGAATAACATTTTACTGGTGTGAGACTTATCTCAGCAGGCTTAAGAAAACTGCTGCAATGGAGAATGAGGCTGATTTGACAATTCTCTGTGTCATTATACAATTAAGACTCAAGATCATCATGCACATCTCATGTTTTGAGCCGTTTCCAGTCTTAATTGCATGTCCTCATTTAGAAAATTCAAATAAATCTACACCTAAAATAACAGGTTTTAATTTACCACCAACAATTCTAAGACAAAGACAAAACCGCAACTCACCCCAACTTGCTGTCGCTGCTGCAGGTGTAGCTTATTGAGCTCTCATTATGTTACTAATGTAATAAAACTTATTTTTCATTTCAAAATTAACACCATAACACATGTAAATCATAGTACAGCACACCTATTTAAATGTTTTCCAACTGCGTGTGTCAAACTGACTATTTTGATCCAATCACAGTCAAGTGATTGAGTGCTAATGCCTGCAGTAAAGGTTAGGCTAGTTTGATTAGCTCAAGATGGAGGTATGAACCGAACTGTGGGCTTGGGAGAATTGTAACACTTCTTCTAAATTAATTATTACAAAAGTGGCAAACTACACTGCTTGCATTTTTTCTGAGAGAATGTTATTTGAATTAAGACAACATAATTCTTAAGGTCAGAGTAAACTGCAAATAGTGATCAATTTCACATGAAACTTTTTTTTCTCGTGCATTTCCTTTTCACACATTCACACTTCTGGCAGCTAAATTCTCCACCCCTGCACATTTATACAGAAAGTATTTCTATAGGCAGAACAGAAAGTGTATTATCTTTAACTTTCTCTATGTCGACGCCAATATGTTGACTTCATTACATTGGACCACGGCTATAATGCAAACACACATTTTTCTTTAAATCACAACTTTTAACTCTGGTGTAAAAAACAATTTATTTATTTATTTATAAATGCTGATGTATTGCACTACCACTTCTGTACTTTTGAGTGACTTGAAAATATAATAACCACCAAATTACAAGAGTATTAACAAACAGTACAGCAAATTGTACAGTCATTTCCATTTGAGACACTGCAGCCTGTTCCGTACCTGCTGGTTGACATCTGCCCCATTGTTGACCAGCAACTCCAGACAGAGGGCACCGTTGGTGGAAACGGCAGCCAGGTGCAGAGGGGTGTAGCCACACTTGTTGGGCTGGTTAACATTAGCGCCATGGTTCACCAGCTCTGTAGCCACAGCCTCCTGCCCCATGTAGCAAGCCACATGGAGCGCAGTGTTTCCAAAGCTATTGGGCTCATCAATCTGATGGCAAAAGACAAATGTGACACAAGATCAGACTGTGCATGAAACCTGAAAAGAAGCATCCCTTTTATCAGATTTCAGCTGCCCATGATAAAAGACTATTGGTTATATGACAGTTTGTCTGACATTTAATAAAACAAACAATAAAGCAAACTAATTTGATCGATTTATAAGTCCATATAAAAAATAAATAAATAAATAAATAAAAAAATCACTCACCTCTGCCCCCATCCTCAGTAGGTACTTTACAATTTCAATGTGACCACTTGCAGCAGCAGCATGGAGAGGTGTGTAGCCTTGCTTATCCTTGCAGCTCTTGTCTGCACTGCGGGACACCAGCAACTTCACAATCTCCACATGCCCTGTGGGAGACACAAAAGAGCAGAAAACATGTCAGTATCATAGATTGTGACTTATGGACTTGCTCATGTTGTTGTTCTTCATTTGAGTAAAACTGCCCATGGACAATAGGAGCCTTTACTGACATCTGACAATGAAAATGTGCAGCACTGGTAAGAACATGAAACTTGCTTACCCAAGTAAGCAGCACAATGGATAGGCTGTCTCTCCTTCTTATCGATGGCACTCAGGTTGGCCCCTTTGTTGAGCAACAGCTTCACCATCTGTCAGCCAATTAAATTCATAAAATTGTTGAGGAACCACTCTCAAGTACTAGCTACTTAAGAAAATCTCAAAAAGGAAAGCATACAACTCAAATCTTACCTCCTGGAACCCACTCTGGGCTGAGTGGTGCAAAGCAGTTCTGCCTGTGCGATCTGCCATGTTCAGGTTGCTCAGCTGGGTTAGCAGGGCCTCTGCGCAGCGTGTGGCACGGTTGGCAGCAGCCACATGCAGTGGTGTCTGCCAGAACTTGTCTCGTGCATTTGCCTCTGCTCCGCGCCTCAGCAGCAGACCCACTGCCCTCTGGGGAGATGGAAGCAATTACAAGAGCTTAAAGCATATATCATATCTGCAGTTTGCTGCATTTCCTTCACTCAGTGCAATATTTTGGTGCATTGATTCAAATGAGTTCTATAATCACTGTGGGGGAATACATAATAGAATTAGAGGATGATGTCATCTGACTAAGATAATTAGACTCTTTGAAAATAACAAAAGGATATGAGTTTATTGCTTACTTCATTCCTGGAAGCAGCCGCCCTGTGCAATGGGGTCAACCATACATGGTCTTTAGCATTTACACTGGCACCTGGCAGACAAACAAACAAAAATTCAACCATTATTAAGGTGTCACATGAATGTTGCAGGTGAAGAGTTATACTTCTGCACAGTGATTTTACAGTGAGGATATCAATCGCGGTACCAAAGGATAAAGTGTGCACCATAAACATGAGCCAGCTGAGCCAGATATCAGCAATGCATGCAGCTCACTTACCTGATTCAATGAGGAGGTCCATTATATGGACGTCACCCACACAGGCAGCAGCATGAAGTGGCGTACGGCGCTCTTGGTCCTGTAGGATAAACACACTTAAAATCAAGGGAGGAATAACGTTTAATGCTTGTGCTTAACTGGTATTTCGGGGGCCCAAGTCCTTCATAATATGAACCCGTTTTGCATGGTAACTACATGAATTTAACACATACCAGTGCATTGACATCCTCCTTTTTGTGCAATAATAGTTGAACTTCTTCAGCATTACGATTGAAGATGGCCTGGACCAGAGGAGGCTGCAATACAGAAATACCAAGTGAAGTTATCATTACGATATCTTTGCATGAGATTACGTTGACGTTCATCCGAAGCGACGATTCGGCTATGCTCATCACACTGTATGATTCCTCTGAGCGGGTCAAATCGTCGTTAAAGCCACCAACTATTCGCTGAAATCGTTAATATATGATATCATGATATTAAACGTTGTATTTAGTGTGTTTACTCTAAGTAACTGAATGTGATTCTTGTTTCCTTCCAGTAAATACTCAGAGCCCTGGCTGAGGCCTACAGGCCCTTTTCTCACCACTTACGTCAGCTAGCAAAACGGCTTTACCTAGCTCCCTCTGCTACAGAGCTGGCCCTGACCCGGAGCACGGCCTAGACAAGAGCGGCAACAGCCTATGCATTAACGCATGAATGCCGAGCATCGCTAATTGCAAGGAATTTTATTGTTATAACGCCGATATCAATTTGAACAAACATGCACAACCACTAAGCGAAATATAAAAACAAGTCGTTCGGCGAATAAGACGTAGTATATTGCGCACAAGAGCAAGTCTTTCCCAGCAAATAGACTGCGCCACAGCACAAACACGGAGCGCTTTCTTGCAGCGTACCTGGTCTGCAATGTTGAGTACTCCCATCTCCCAAACTCAGCCAGGACGGAGCTCCTTCATGAGGATAAAACTTCGAGGTATATTGCGGTGCGCTACTGTATTCACTTTTCAGACTACACCCATAGCTGGTTGCAAACAGAAATGCGGTCTTGATCTGTCACTGTTGTTGTCTGTATCCAATGTCTGGTCTGACGATACTGGCTACGACTGTGCTGGTCCGCCTACAGGCGTGGCGGTCTGCTTTCGGCTTGTTGGGGGAAATGGCGTCGCCATGTGGCAGAAAACAGTAAAGCTGCCGTTACACCGCGTAAAGACAGAAGAAGAAGGGCACCGATTGTCTGCGAGGTCAAGTTGAGGGTTTCAAAAGCATTAATATTAACAACTATCAATACAAGTAATGTAGCTGTCATTGAGCGGAGTTTTTATTTTATTTTAATACAGCACAACTGTACAAATACCGAGGTTCACTCTATATCAACTATTACTTCTGTCAAAGAGGTTATATTTTCACCTGTGTCTGTTTGTTTGTCGATTATTTGTTTGTCAGCAGGATTAAGCAGAAAGTACCAATAATAACTAAAAACAAATTCAGCCATTAACCTCCAGCACAGTGGGAGGCAGCATTTCACCACAGAGGCGTTGGGTTTAACCGACGGGCAGCGGATAGAAGAAAGGAACAGTTTGTCCCACCGGCGTTTTATTTAGCAGCAGAAGGTCGTCGGCAGCTGGGCGATATTTGACAACACACAAACCAAAAACCAGCTTAAATAACTTAACTTTGTTGTAAGTTTGGGGCTCGAAACGTGGATTGATATGAGTATTGCTAAAAATATAGAGGGACGCGGCTGTGCGTCGCGTTTGTTCGGGCTCGTTATGAAACCGTGCTAGCTAATGTTCGCTAACATTAGCAGTTGAGCACCGTAACTAACGATAGCTACGCTGACAGTTAAGAAAGCGACCGGAGACGCGGTTTTAACCCAAGACAGTCTACTAGTTTTTCTTGCAGCGTAGAATTAACGCTACGTGGGATTTTAGAAACCCGGACTTCACAGGGTACTCGGACTGGAACCTTGAATATCACCGCCTCCGGTCTTGGAGCAGACCCCGGGCTCAGCTTCTCAGACCCAGGATCGCTGTTCCTTGAACTGAGTGGCTGGTTTGATGGCAGCCACGGCCAGTGCCCGGCGGTTACCCATGGGTGTGCGGACATTCAGTGACTTTCTTCAGATTGCCACTGTGGGCTCCCCTCGCTCGTGTCGTACACCGGTGCTAAGAGGATGCCTTCGCCAAAACATCAGGTATTAGCAGGACTTTATCATTGTAATGACACACGGCTAGTATTACAACACACTGTGTCTCCTTTGCATCGAATAGTATATAGTTGTGATGACAAGTTGGGTTAATCCTGGAGCAATAGCCAGGTCTGACAACCTGAATCTTACAAATGTTATCAATATCGGTTAGTACTGGTGACACAGTAAAGGTTATCGCTAATTGGTGCAGGCGCAGTATTGAACAATTAAGTATTGAAACCATAAAGGTCTTGCTCTGATGGGGAATCGTCAGTCTTGAGATAAGAAGAACATAAATATAACCTCTGACCTCTCACTTGCTCACTTGCTTGCAACACGTACAGTTGCAAGCAAATATTTGTTGCATCCCTGGGAAAATAAGCCTTTGTTTTTCGAAAGAAAAGCAGTAGACAGACATTTAAAAAAAAAAATTAGCCCATCTTCAAAAGTTATTCACTTTTACTTTGAATTTTTGAACTGAAAACGGTTATTGTGATTAGTGAGTTCATAAAAAGAAAGTGAAAATAAAGGCCTCTACAAGAGGACAATGAACCAAAGCAGAAAAAAACTCAAATCCATCATGAGCTACTTCAAGAAACACAAGTTGAAGCTTTTGGAAAGACTCTCACAGTCCCCTGACATGAACATCACTGAAAAAATGTGGGTAAATCACAAACTTGCTGTGTGTGTGCAAGACATCCTGAAATATCTGAGAACTTGGAGTGATTTGCAGGAAGATTAGGTGAAAATTCCTAAATGAAGAACTGAAAGTGTTTTAACTGTAGTCATATTTATATTTAACCTTTCTCAAAGGTGTGACAATCTCCATTCTCCACTAGGGCAAGAGCATACATTAGACACCTACACTTCAAGGAAGGACCAATACCAATATCTAATATCACAAGGAATAACTAATTAATGTTGGACAAATATAGTATTGTTTGTCAAATATATCAGCTGAGTTCATCGCCAGCTAAGGTTGTGCCTTATCATATGGTTCATGATATTATTTGTATTTAAATTGGACATATCATGATATCAGTGGTATTGTCAATGATGTATTGATGTATGTAAGGAAATTACAGTGCTCCCATCCTAATTAACTGATGCTGATTACCAAAATTTAGGAAGTAAAAACCTACAAAATGAAACCACGAATCAAACTACATTTCATATTTAAAACTATCCTGCAATATTATGATATTGACTTAAAACATAGATTTTTTTTCTATTCAAACATGTCAGATAGTCATAAAACATTCATCCAGATTCTACTGGTTACCTACCGGAAAACACATTGCTAAGTGGTGCAACGAGAGTGAGTCGGTGTTACAATACGTAGCTGTTTGCTATTCACATAACAATACCAAATCAGAAATTACCAGCATACTCACAACACAGAGACCTTCCGTTACCTCCTGATGCAGCGTACTTTGTGCACTCATTGACAGTAGCTGGAAACTGGAATGTAGTGGGCCTTTTTTGTTGTGTGTTGTGCCTGTGTTAGGTTTCCCTCTTTCCAGAATGTGGCCTTCAGGACATTTTCTCTTTACTTTTTAGACACCTGTCATCATGTGGCATTTTGATGACAAGAACTCCCAGAGTGCTTTGCCTTCAAGACTGGGACACAATGACAACTGTTCCCCAAAGCAGAAACTTCATCAGCCTCACCAACAAAAGGAAGGAGTACTCCGAGCGTAGGATACTTGGGTAAATTTTCCAGTATGGTAATAATAACTGTATATCTGAGTGTTTTCTTTTTAATTCCTTAACTTTGCAATACTTGCTGTCTTAGGTTTTCTATGCAGGAAATGTATGAAGTGGTGGCCAATGTTGACGACTACAAGCACTTTGTGCCCTGGTGTAAGAAGTCCCAGACCATCATGAAAAGAGCAGGCCACTCCAAAGCCCAGCTTGAAGTGGGATTCCCTCCAGTGGTGGAGAGATACACATCTATGATCACTAGTGTCCGGCCTCATCTGGTCAAAGTAAGTGTCAGAAGCTACAGTGAATCTCTCAGTCCTGTGAATGACAATATATCTGATTTTATGAATGGTGATTGTATTTGATATTGCTGAAATATAAATAACAGTTTAAATGTCAGCAACTGAAGTGAATAGTGTTTGTGATGTCGAAAAGCACCCACTCCTTAAAATTCTTGTTTCTGATAAGAGTTTCTCTTTTGGGTGATTTTAGGCAGTGTGTACAGATGGAAAGCTGTTCAATCACCTGGAGACAATATGGCGCTTTAGTCCTGGCATTCCTGGTTACCCTCGCACCTGCACAGTAGACTTTTCTGTAAGTAGCCTCCAGCTTGCTTCTCGGTTTATTAAGTGTGTATCAGACCCTCTGCCCCCTTTGATGCATCTTTTGTATTAACCCTGATTAAAGGAATAGTTTGGCATTTTGGAAGAAATATTTATTTGCTTTCTTGTTGAGAGTTAAATGAGAGGATTTATACCATCCTCGTGTTTGTACAGGAACTATGAAGCTACATGCAAAAGACACTTAGCTTAGCATAAAGACTGAAAGTACAGGGAAACAATTAGCCTGGCTCTGTATATGTCCTCTGTTCTCTAACCTTCCCACTGTTTCCACTCTTTATGTTAAGCTAAGCTAACTGTCTGGGGGTTGTAGCTTCATTTATCATACAGACATGAGTGGTCTGGATCTTCTCATCTAGCCCTTGACAAAAAATAAATAAGCCTATATATATTGTATTGTACGTCAAATTCACCCTCTCTTGCTGCCATATTTTATGACTGTGGTATTAACTAAAAGTTAGTTTATTAATTAATTATTTTTGTATCTTCTACAGATATCCTTTGAGTTCCGCTCTTTGCTGCACTCCCAGTTAGCCACCATGTTCTTCGATGAGGTTGTAAAGCAAAATGTCGCTGCTTTTGAGCGGCGGGCTTGTAAGCTGTACGGCCCAGAGACTCGTATCCCACGGGAGTTAATGTTTCACGAGGTGCATCAGACGTGATCTTGGCAGCTGTATGTCCTCATGTCCTCATCTGGCCTTAAATTATACCAACCTTTGTTTCCTTTATCCACACAAACTTGCATGATGCTGCGTAATCCCCCCCTCACCGCTACATAGACATCATAGTGGCTGCTGAAGATGTTAGACATCCAACTCTTGTAAGCATTATTATTATTATTAATAATTCCTCTTCTCATTGTGTTAAGTCTTTCCACTTTCTGTCTACCTCCACTGAAGGGATCCTTGTTTAGCAGAGGGACACCACCATTGCTCTTGCTCCATAGCAGTTACAAGCTGTATTTATGTATAAAAACAGTAAATCATTGCAACATTATGCTACCAATGGTAGAGTCGACTATTATTTTAAATGAACAGCACAGTGACACTGAACAAAACACCCTTTTATTATTATTTTTTTAATAAAAGGCACAGATGCCGTTTGATCCAGACTTCTGCTCAAGTCTTATAGTTCACTGTGACCTCGAAGTTACTTTTCACACTGACACTTAATCAAGTCAAAGTGTGTCCAATCTTTAGTTGAATTTCAGCACTTTGATCAGCTGATTATACTGTATTACTTTGCCTTTACTTTTACCACTTTTATTTCAAATGGAACTTTTAATATATTGTTTGACATAGAGTTGTGAAGTTGGTGCAAAACGATATTTCATTTCATCCTTTTTAATTTATTCATCAGTGGTTATATGCAATTTTTTTATTATATTATTGGGATCCAAATCAAATGTGCCATGTGTGGGACGTTGAGAGTGTTGTCACTGTGACAATATCACTGAAGTGCAACATTTTGCGAGGGGGAAAAATGTCATTTCTTCATTAGTTAGCTGTGTCCTCAATTAACCTTGAGGTTTGGGAGATTTAGATTTATCTTGGCTGTTGTTGTGCTGTGAGGATTGTGTTTTTGGACATTTAGACTTGGCCTGCCAATTTTAATAATGCCTTATTTTACAGCCCAGCACGAGTAGTAACTTTTAGGTGATTAATAAAGGTGATGGGGGCACAAACAAGAGCACCTGAATGAACAGGTTGGAGTGTACTGTGAAATACTTTAAATGGGATTACAACAAAAATGTTACAGATCATGTGGGTTAACTACAACTTTATATTTGATAAATATATATTTTGGTTTGCAGATTCTTAAAGATTAGATTAGATGCTATTTCTGAAAATCAAATTAAATGCCACTTGAGATACTTGAGATTGATAGTAATGTGATTAGGTCACAGTTCCAATAATCCAATTGATTTCTAAAGTTAAAACAATTTGTAACATGTTGGAAAAGTTTTCCATCTCTGCTTTCTGTTTTGTGGTCCATGTTATGAAGGTTATCAGGAGAATGATCCTCCTGTTGTGTACATTTATATAAAATACGCTGGTGGGCTGTAGAATAAAACATTATCATTGTCTGTGGGTTTCATGCTTATTTTTGAGAGGTGTAGCTTTTATTTATATTCATTATGATGCATGGATGTAACTAACAAAGAGGCAAATATACACGTTTCAAGTGTTGCATTGTCAGTGTGACTACAATTTGTTGGGATTTATATTTCATATCGAGGTAGCCCATCGCTTTATTCCACAGTAAAGTGCGCATAAAGTTAATTGATATTAATACCGTATTTGCCATATTTTAGATACATTCAGGTTGCCAAAGGTCAGTGGAGGAAGTCATTCATTGTGTGACCTTCCTCATAACAGGCAGTTCATTTTGTCCACATGCTCCAAGTATCATACTCTCAACAGAACTGAACTGTGGTTCGGTATTTTCAAAGCTGGATTTTGGCTTCAAAGTCGATGTGTTTATTTTCTCTTTTTAAAAAGGTGATTTGGAAATGAAGGGATATTTAATTATCAATGCATGAAGAATGTTAAATCCAATGGGCCTGTGAATCACTGTTACATGAAAAAAAGTTCAACTTATTAAAAGATTTTTAAATGTCATTTTCAAGTGTTATATTTTTAAGCAATAAAATATAATTTTAGATTAAGTCAGATTTAAGATTAAAATTTTAGCATATCGTCATGCTATCCAGTGATCAGGCTTGATTTTGGATCTTTTTTTTGTTTTTTGCTAGAGATGTATGTTTGATATGCTGCCTACTGATTGAATTTAATGCCAAGGTTTATTGTTGTAGGTGCCAATACTCAGAAATCGGAAACAATGGAGACTATTTTAAGAGATAGTAAGAAGAGCAAGAGTATTGTCACCTCAGCCTTCCTTCCCTGCAGTATATTTCCACATTGATGGTCATATTGCAGGTATATGAACAACCCCTGATTTAACAGTGGTGGCTTGGAATGTATACATGGATGTAGATACATTATGATAGAAAATATTGCCATTATTTTTGCAGTCCTTTCACTTTTTATGTTGCAAGCTAAAATGTACCTGTAAATACTGTGGGTGTATTTTAAAGCTTTATTTAAATAAAAAAGCAGGTATAAATTATTTTTTGTATGCACTGTTTCTTTAAATTATTTGTATATTGCTCAGGAGAATCTGATTCCTTTGTGTAACTAACCTGCAGCAGCAGTTCACTGTATGGTTGTATCATAATGCCCTTAGATGAAGCTTATACTGCCTGTTTTAACTGGGTTTTTGAACTGGGCCACTGCATGGCCTTGTTGCCACAAAGTGCACATAGACACAGGAGGTATGGCTACAGGGACAGGGGTTAGACACTGCTCTCCAAAAGGCAGCTGACCATCAAGAAACCAGAGTGGGGTGATGGTATGTGGGCCAGTTATTAATAACGGCACGTAGGAGAGGTGGGTATTTGGACCAACTTCCTTCTTCATCCTGTCAATTGCATTTATTAGGTAGAAGTCAGGCCTCACCAGAATAACCTTGCCACAATGGTAAGAACTGAAGAATCACAAATTCAAATTTAAGCTCTACAACAGCAGTGCAGAAAGGTAATTGTATTTCAAGATGTACTAGTTTTGTCTCTGGGTACTGCATTCAAAATCTTGTTTACAATATTCAACCAACCGATACTATGTGTCTCAACAAAAGACAAGTAACTCAAGGTTTACAGAGTGAGAATGTGCTCAATAACAGAGCAAATATTTTTTTAGGTTATTTTACAGATATGACAGGAATTCTCATAAAAGCCATAGAGGTATGAGTGGAAGGGACACTGACCTCACTCTTCAGTGGTTGTGTATTCAGCTCTGAGAAAAACTTGACGCAATTGCAATTATTTCCTGTACAGTGAGACCCTAAGCAATGGTAATCAAGCTGTGGAGATTAACAGACATTCAACCCCAGAAAACGTTTTAATTAGTTAGCTTTAATAGGTTAGTTTTAATCTAACACTCTGGCAACCTGTATGGGAAAGCCTTTGTGTCATTATTTTTGCCCTCAGTGCTGTTCACCTGCGGCGCTGACAAGTGCGACCAGGTGGAAAGGAAAAATAAAAAACAAACGAACAAAGATCCATCCTGAACTGTCATGTCATATGAGACAAGAGCTAACATGTTATTGTTCTAGTATGCATTTTCAGCAGACAATTTGACTTGTCATAGTAGGAAAAGCACAGGTGTTACTAATAACGACAATACTGTTGACCCTGTGAGCAGGCATGCACAACACCACAACCCTTTAACCAAAGCAGCTAAACTGACCTCAGCTATCATTAATTACATTATTTACTGCTGTATATTTCCCACGAGGGATAAAAAATAATTTAGCAGAAGCAGGGATATATAGACCAAAGAATAAACTCCTGGTGCCTATCATATAATGTACATGCGAATTAAGCATAATAGGCATTTCTAAATGTATAAATTCAACAATATAATCATGCTATTTTCAACACTTTGTTGGTATAAATGTGAGTTGAACGGTGGGCTTAAGGGCACGCCTCTTTTTAGGGGCAGTCACCCAGCCCAAAGACTGACCCTGCCGTCCTGGCTTCGCGACAGAGCCTCTCTTCCATTACGTCAAATATTTTAAATTTATTAGATGTACCATTATCGCTAAAGTCGCACCGAGCAACAAAGCTAACAGAGCTGAAGAGTGGGAGGGAGAGAGAGAAGCTGTCTGTTAAAAAAAAACTAGTAGACCTGAACAGCATGTAAACAACGGAAACTCCAGCAACCGGAAATGAGACGACACGCTTAGTGAAGCACGTCAGCACGGCAATAAAACCCATGTTAAGGGTTTCTGTCCACTGAACGCCAGAGGGCTTTGAAACGTTTATAGGAAATGTAAAACTAAAAGCAAAAGTAGATGAGAATGTTATCTGTCCCTAAACAGTGATCATGAATTCGCAGAATATAGAGATAGAAAGCATGGGCAGATACTGACCATGTATAGTCTCAGTAACCACAAACTGTCTCTAACAAGGACAACACAAAAAAACATGGCAACCAACAGAAAATATACATGTGGTCACCGTTTCACGGGTGAAGTTGAGACCGAGATGCACTTCCTCCTAAAATGTAAATCATTCAATGAAATAAGGAACATTTATTATAACCAATTCAATTATGGTTCAATTATCCAAATTTTAATGGGGACATCTCAAAATTAAAAATACTGCAATTATACATATCAAACATTGGGAAAAGTTAAGCATTTGGCCGACCAATGGTGTAACATCATCACTAAACTCTGATCACCCATGGGCATTAATGGATGTAGTGGCTGGTCAAACCGAACAAAGGCCTGCATTACGTTATGCAATATTCTAAACAATAAAGAAAATTAGACTAAACAAGTGTTAATAAAAACCTTTATTTTTCGTTTTTTGTTAGGTTTTCCAGTATTTGCGCTTCAAGCTTTTCTTGCCCATTTGACCCATCCAGCCCCATCCCCCTAAGTGTTTCTCTGATGAATCCATCTGCAATGAATTCTCCCAGTTATCATGTACAACCTTTATGCTCCTCTACGATCAAAATAACCTCATCTGTTGAACAACCCACCACATGGAAGAACAGTACGATAAAACACAAAACACACCTGATAAAGCCAGAAGTAAGATGGTAGCAGAGCAGAGAGATTCATACATCTGAGTGAGCTACTGACTAACACAGCAAGAGTAGTTTGGAAAAAAAAATGCAAGAACTTAAAACTACACAAAAATGGAGTGTTGACAAACCCAGAGCTTAAGAGCAAGCTTGAAATATTCAAGTGAAACACCTGAAAAACAGCACCGGCTAAGCCCACAGAGCTAGGCAAGAAATCATGTATATACAAGATAGCTGCAGTTTCTTTTTGTTCGTTGTTAACATTTCACAGTGACCAGCGAGACTGAACATTACAGTGAGACTGGGCACTACTACATTGTGGGTAAACTATGGTAATCATTGTGGTTATTACAAGCAAGTGATCGAGCTCATACATTCAAGCTTTACATATATATACCTATGTACACAAAGTATAAATAAAACCACAAAATGAGAACCCAAAGATTATAGTTTTATACATATTCAACACCAAAAAAAAAACCCTCTGTAAAAGGAACACAATCAACCTGGGGGGTGTCTACTGCTACAAATTAGGAAATCCAATCAAGCAAGTGCTCATTTTGGAGTAGTTGATGTTTAAAGCGCTCTCCTGTGGGGATGGATAAAGTAACAAACATACACTCATATAAGACAGGACTTTAACAAAGTCCCCCTCTCCCACCTTTCATTCAAGCTTGCTCTTAAGGATTTACTACAGGCTGCCAATTACAACACCCTTTGCTCAAATCTTTATTATTACAGTTACTGTACATTATACTTGATTCTTGACCATTCATAAGACCATTTGAGCAGAGGCCCATTACAAATAGGAAAGCATGTTAATGAAAATAGACAAGACAGTTATTTTGATCATAGAGGTAATACAGGTCATCATTAAAAAAAAAAAAACAACTACAACTTGGAGAAAAAGGGGACACCAAAGATTTAAAGGGGCAGTATCTTTTAACTGAGTTTCATGCTTTTGAATGTTTATCTTGAACAGCTTTGTTAATTTTTATAGTGAGGACCTTCTTTTTCTAAACTGGAGTGTTCATAAATGGGAGTGAAATGCGTTGATAGACTGGGTGGGATGACATCTGGGAACATTGCATAGAAAAAAAACTAAATAGAGCCTTAATTAGGAAAAAAGTTATTTTGCTTGGGGATGTCCTCTAAAACAAATCACTGCATTAGCCAAAAGCAGCAAAGGTTGAGTCAGGTATTTAACTTTAGATCTTTGAATAAATACAAAACGAAGTGTAATTCACTCCCACAATTCCCTTTGAATGCCACTGCCTATTCATAGTTCAGACCCAGTGCTCAATGACAAACACGCAGGCACTGCACAGGGGAAAATCTTAGCGATGCTAGCAGACTTATAATAGTACATAGTTTGAGCCTACTATGGGTTACATTTATGTGTGTCTTAAGTTTTCACCTCACATGCTCCAAATATGGAGACGTGCTGGGAAAACTTGTCAGTGGTTACCTAAACACACTAAAACACTAATGTGTGACAATTTAAAAGGCCCTTCTTTTGTGAAATGACATTAAAAGCGTACTGTCTCTTTGAATCCCATTGAATCCCTGGGGTTGGAAATGACAGGGGGTCAACTTGTGTCTGCCTTTTGATATTTCCATCTCCTCCCACCCTTCACACTAACCCCTAGCTCCTTTCAGGTGGTTCTTCAGCCTGACTTAGCTCCCACCAGTGTCATCAGTCCATCTGTGCTCATGGACTTGGGGCGCTCCAATGGGAAGCCCAAAGCTCTACTCCACACCAGCTGAGCCAGCACACCGAGGGCTCGGGACACACCGAAGAGCACAGTGTAGTAATTCATCTCAGTCATTCCATAATACTGCAGACAGGGAAAAAAGAGATGGGCACGTCAGCATCTGTTGACCATAGCATGACAAATGCATGATTAAAAGCCATCACATGCGTCTTACCTGAAGCAGCACGCCACTGTGAGCGTCCACATTGGGCCAGGGGTTCTTGGCCTTACCCTGCTCCAGGAGCACATTGGGCACAATCTTGTAAAGCTGGGCAACCAACTTGAACATGGGGTCATTGGGAAGATGCTTCAGGGCAAATTCACGCTGGCAGGTGTAACGTGGGTCAGTCTTCCTCAGGACAGCGTGGCCATAGCCTGGCACCACCTACAGCCAAGAGAGAGGGAAAATTCTCCTGAACTTTTGAACCATTAAAACCCAGTCACCCTTAATTTCTTTTTAAATGCTTTCTGAATTGAGGAATAATTCCATGTTTATGTCATGAGAGTTAACGTAATTATGAGTTTCTGACTTGTAAATAACATTCATGTCAACATCCAAGTCATAATTACTCCTGGGAAATCTCCAATATAATCTGATTTGGCACTAAACAATATGAAAGTGCCTGAAATCCAAACAAATTAGGATGTGTCACATTAGCTAAATACTATCATTCAATCTAACAAACCCAAGATTAATGGATGTGGTGTTATAATGTCAATGCACTGCAGTCCTCACATGACAGATTTTATAATCATACAACTGTCTCGATGGCTTGATTGCAGCATTAGGCCATCCTAAAAGAAAATAATGGCATGGCATATGGCCCCTGACATCCAGGTTTACACACCATAAACACAGTATGGTTTTTCATGAAAACGCAAAAATGAATTCCAGTAAGTACAACGGATTGAAGAAGTGATGCGCCTTTACCCTTCCAGACTTGAGTGTGTTCCAGATGTAATCCCTCATCCTCTCATCAGACACCTCTCCTCCCAATTCCTTCTGCAGTGCAGTCAGCCACACCAGCACCTCCTGTGAGATGCAGAAGACACATTGCACATTGAAGAGTTATTACCTAGATTTGGAAAAGCTTTATAGTCATTATACACAATTGTCATTCATTCTAAATAGCACAAAGTACATGATTATGGTACTTTACCTGGATATTATCTGAGCTTGCGTGGCTTTTCAGTAATAATACTGCAGCAGCAGAAACAAGCAAATCCCATTTCACACAGTCAATTTCCTCTGTATATGTTCTGGGATTTTTTTTAAATTTTTTTTAAATTTTAAAAAAGCCCCTTGTCAGTTTACTATAAAACTTTGTCAATATGTCAAAATCATCAGTATGTGAGCAAATTAACAATTAAAACTGTCATCTTGAACACTTATTAACAGGAGTGTCTTGGGTGCTGTTGCACATCTGAATAATACAATTGCAACTAACTAGCCAATAATAAATGATGGCAAAATTTACTAAAGGTGGTATAGGGAACTTTGACAGCTAATGGGTTTACTGTAGCTGGTGTGAGCTTCCCCAAGCAATGGCAATTAAGCTCTGGAGATTAACAGTCATCTAACTCCAGAATAAATGTTATAATCCAACACTGAGACAGCCTGTATCAGACAGCCTTAGTGTCATTATTCTTGCCCTCAGTGCTGTTCATTTGTCAGGGGAAAAAAAAAAATTCCATTCTGAACTGTCGTCATATATGACAAGAGTTAACATGCTATTCTTTCATCAGGTCTTTTTTTTTTTCACAGCAGAAATTTGAACTTGTTATAATGAGAAAACCACAGGTGTTACTGATAACATTAACGATGGCTCAGATCTATTCAAGTCTCCCAGTAAGCCATGATAGTGTGACTCTGACTTAGCATACACAATAGCAGGTCCCTGAAACTGTAGCTGCTAAGTGGAATTCAGCCATAATAATAGCATTTGTGTTTTTCCTACAGTGACATGTCTAAATGTCTCCCAAGGAATGCCAAAAACCACTGCTTTACAGCAACTTCTGAAGCCAGAAAAACTGGCTTTTCTACATGTGAAAACACAGTGAAAATGGTGATTTGCTTGGTACAAACCTGATTGGCCAGGCCATGCAGAGGACCAGCCAGACCATTCATGGCGGCACTGAAGGACAGGTAGGGGTCAGACAGGGCACTACCCACCAAGTGGCTGGTGTGGGCACTGACATTGCCTCCTTCATGATCACTGTAACATTAAAAAATAAATAAATAAATAAATAAATAAAAATCATGTTGACTCAGGGATTATGGCATCCATTGCATTGCAAAACTCAGTTTTTATTGGACACTGTCATCAAGCCACTAACTGAAATATGAAGAGTGACTGATCTACTCTTTGTGCACTTCTCCATGTGCAGTCTAAATGTTAAATACATGTATATGTGGGGACTGCATGGCTAAACTAGTGACCAATGCTATTGGGTCATTATTCCAGAGAAAATATAATAATATTTCCAAACACTTTTCTTCTTTTTCCTTGTGAAATCCTGGATATCATATGCCATTGTAAATCTTGTGTTTTAACATCTTACAACTATGTGTTCTCACTTCAACATATCATCCCTGGGATTCTTTTTGGCATGAAAATCCATGAATAAAATCATAATTTTAGTCCTTGCACAAAGAAAACTGATTCATCTATTTGCAGAACATGTAGTTTTTCAAGCACTTGCATCAAAGCTCAATGTATAATTTATATTAAAAATGCATGACTCTGATCAAAGTGTGAACAGAAACAGAGATGGAGCAGAAATCCTCATAAAATGCTAAGATTTAAAAAATAAAGCTAGTTGATAATCTATTAGAGGCTTTTCAAGTAGCACCTGTGAATGGTGAGGTAGAGCCTCATTAGCTCAGTGAACTGGGGATCACTGTAGCCCAGCATGTTGGTGAAGTTGTGGGACCAGTCCAGGTTGGAGTCGATGGCTCCGATGCTGCTGCCTTCGCGATACAGGTTGCGATAGATCTTGGCAGCAATGCAGGGCAGCTTGGCAATCAAGTCCATGGAGTCTTCATAGACAAACTAAGAGAGGCAATGTAAGAGGATTAGGAAAGAGTACAGGAAACCAGACCAGAAGTCTACAGCCATTCTAGCAGTTCTGTGAGACTGTAATGCTCTTTATACAACAACAAAAAAAAGTTGGATTGATGCAAAATTTATTTTTTATCTGAGGACAATGCCTGTACCAAATTCAATTGCAATCCATCTCATAGTGAAGATATTTCACTCTGAATCAACAGACCAGTATTTCTATCCATGGTGCCAAGCTACAAGTATGATTTAAGATCAGATGAAATACATGTAAACTCACCTCCCAGTACTTGGTCTTGTGGACACCCTCAGAGTAAGCCCGTGCAAAGCTGCTCTCACTGTTCAGAGCTGTGATGGCAGCACTGAACTGAGACATGGGGTGCAGGTTTGTGGGGAAATTATCCAACATGGTGACAACGTGAGAGGGAAGTGCTGCCCTCTTCGCCCACTCTTTGGACACCCAGTTCACCTGGAGGAAGAGAAGCTCATATCATAAGCAAGTGACCTGCATCAACTTTACAAGGCATTTACAAGTGCTACAGACACATGTACAGTTAGTGTAGTAACTTTGCTTTCCTGCCAAATATTATATACAATCATGGCAAAGAAAGGGTCTTAGCTGGTCTTTGTACAATTGTAACAAATGTTTTGTTAAGGTTAAGAAAAGTTATCCTCTTTAGTTGACTTCCGAGTCAATAGCAGATGCATTAAAATGCTTAATATCAGATTTTAAAAAAGGGTAAAGATGTGAAAGCTATTCTTTCAGTGAAAAGTTGTCAGCTAGAAAGGTGAAGGCTTATCACTCAGGTTGTCCTTACATCACTCTTCCAGGAGATACTTGGCAGCAATAAAATGCCTAATCAAAAAGGTAGAGACTGCATCTTGTTTCACAGTCATAAAACAATCTAGTTTAAAAAGAAACAAGTTTTCTGGAGTCATATATAGCCAGTTGCAGTGCTTATGCTGTAAAACATCTTGTGATGCACTTTCCCATGTTTATATCAATCTGACAAATCATGTGGTGTCTCACATATTACTTAGACCAAAAACTAATCTATGACAAAAGTCAACTTCATCTGTTATTCTGCAGGAATATCATCCATTTTGATAATGCTGACAGTGTGGGGAAATTCTGTAAAAGTCTGATGGTGTCTGAGATAGCAGCACTGACAGATGGATAGAAAAGATGAACAGCTGTACAGTCATCCCTTATTATAACTTTAAAGTACAACAAATAGCTCTAGTGCTCCTCCCCCACTCACCTGCTCCTCAGTGGGCACCTGCCCTGTGACCAGCAGCCAGAAGAGGCCCTCGGGCAGCGGCTCCTCACCTCCTGGAGCTTTAGGCAGCAACTTCTGACACTCTGGAATGCTGTAGCCCCGAAAACGGATACCCTGTTTATCAATGGGGAGAGAGAGGAAAAGACTAAATATTGGTTGTGATTAAAAAAGACAGCCAAATTCTCCTGAAAGGCACCATCAAGTGAGTGTTGGTAAACTGCCAACATGAGTTTTAGTTCTACCAATGAATTTGGATGATTAAGTATCACAGTCCCTGTGGGGGCCTGCTAACAAGATATATGAAAACAAATCCATTATGCTACTGAAAGCTCTCAGTTTCAGTAAGAAAGCAATCAAGGTAAGTGCCTATGAGACGGGAGGGTCTCCAAAGGACCAGGAGAGCTCAAATTATAGCCACTGTTTGAATGTCTGATACAGAATGAGGCTTATACAGACATCTGCCATTTAAGTAATCCAGTAACAATAATCAGCCAATAGGGTTTGGCATTCCACAGATCTTAGACAACAATCTGATATGCATCCATTCCATTTTTTTAAGAATTGTATGTATTAAGAAAAGTGGCACATTTTATGGTTGAAAAATCAACTTCTCAGAGCTCACTGGTAGACCCTCTATGTAATGGTGACATTGTTTCTGAATGACCTCAAACCCATTTTGCCATTTTTGTCCTGCAATATCTTGTTACTGATCTGTCGATACACACACACCCTTATCAACATATCTGCAATAAACTAACATTAGGTGATGTCTCTGCCAGGCAGATATTGTGGCCTAGCTCTAATACTGACCTCCTCAGGATCCAAAACAGAGGTCTCATACACCAGACCCTTCATCCCTCTCATACCTCCATAGACCTGTGGATGAAAAGACACAAACCACACGATGACATTACAGACTGAAAACTGCTTTGTTAACACCAACTACAGTTATTCAGCACTGGATCTTCAAAGTGAAAATCTACTGATTGTTAATATAATATTTTTGAGGCTCAATAGTTGTTATCAACTATTTTACAAGGCCTGGAAGAATTAACCAAAAATCACATTAAACTTTATGTCTGTAATACCATGCATTGAAATAAGAGAATGCACTTGAATACTGATAAATACATTTACATGACAAGGACAGGCAACAGCTGAATGCTTACTTGTTGTTTGACAGTGAAACAGACCCAGTGACCCAACAAATGTTTCTAAAATCCCCATGGCTACCAGTCAGAGGTCATAGGTAAAGTGAGAGATAAACAGAAGTTGTTGCATTGGTGTGTATGTGTGTGTATATGCAGTTGTGTGAGTCTGAAACTGGCAGTGTGCAGCAGAGGTTTGAGTGACTCAGCTAAAATGTCTCTTTTGGCAGGAAGCAGTTCATATTGTGACCTCTGAGGGAGATGACCAAACAGTGATACCTGACACAGTAAATACTGCTGGGCAGGCCTAGACGGATTAGGTGAGGCCATCATGCCACGTCTAATCTGCATAATGGCTGATGGCCCACATGCTCATTTCTAAATTAATATAGTGGATAACAAGAATCTGACTTGGTTTCTAACTGGTCTGTAGTTCTCATTTTACTCTGGTCTTTTAACACATCTCAAGAGTTACTCACCATGTCAACATTAATCTGTCCTATGTTGGTTTTGCCATATTGTTGTTTGAAGTTCTTGATCCTGGTCTGTTCTTTAGGGATGAGGTCAGCCAGAACATCCTTCAGATTCTGTCAAAACAACATTTAATCAGTGATGCCCTGGATCAAACATTTGATATATTTAATATAAAAAACATTCCTCTTATGTGAACTGGGTTTAATTAGATAAGACTTTATGTGAACATTTCAGAGAGAAACAGTTGCTGCGTAGCTTGACAACACAATTTTTTTAGTACTCAAGAGAACACAGTGCTTTTTCTACTTATCCACTTACACTACAAAATAAAAATCTGAAAAAATTGAAGCAAGCAGACAACCTTGGAGTTTAACTAAGCGTACTTACTGTTGTTGATGCGCTGGCATTTCTGGCAGCCACAAGGAAGTAGGTGGCATTCTGTGGAACAGAAAAAGGAATAATAAAATTTTGAGTATTAGTATGATGTGACATGACATGATGAACTCTAATAAAAAATGTATGGTCACAGCGGCATTTCTAGACTATAAACGATACTGAGACAATTTTGCAGCAGCTCAAACTATTTTGCACAATAACATAATACTGTTGTGACTTCCTATTAGTCTAAGTGAAATGACCTTCCACCCTTGTTAACATGGCAGACTTCAGCACTGTTTGTTCATTGGTTCTCTAGTTCAAAGCAGCTATGAATTTAATAAACTCATGTAGACTTTAAAAACAATCATCCTTAAGTAGTTTCTGAGTAGTGAGAAATTTACAGGTTCTTTCTGACTATTTTACATTGAGCTGAGACTGACCATTTATCCTGCAATACATAACTGCTGTTAATTCAAGCAATTAACTAAGGATGTTAATTGTTAAGCCTTCCTTCCATTTATTGCCAAGCACTTTATTCCTCCCCTCTGCATAGCCTCAATTCTTCTGGGCATCATCTCAAAAAAGGTTTTCAATTTGTCCATTTTATCCCTGTTGTACTGAGTTGCCTGGTGGTTACTTACAACCATAATTTAAATTTAAAATAAGCTGAGGGGAGGTGGATGGGTAGATCAGTACAAACAGCTGCAACAAGTAACTACTAGCATCAGCAGAGGCATAGTGATTATCCAAATAAAAAATTTCATTCACAAACTGAAGGCTTGTAACAGACTGCAAATGAAGTGAACATGTTGTTAGTCATAAAATTATTTTTCCACTTCTACCAGATAGTACAGGGTGTGTCAATAGAAAAATAAACATGCCACGCAATCATAGTACCAGTTTACGTCAATATGTATGATTCATTAATGTGCTCATGTGGCTTCCAGTTTTCCATAATTCTGATGCAAGTCCCAATTCTTTTAACTACAATATAAACATTTACTATTGTAAGACACAGCTACGAATACACTTCTTCTTTGGATCTAACTGTTGGTAAAACACAGTCTTCCATAAAAGGCTTCCTAGCTTCCAATCCAGAGTGAGTCAGCCCATCCAGTCACAGCTTATTTGTGTCATGCAAGGTGATGAAATATGTGATATTCAGAAAGGTTGTCTGCTGCTTAACTCCTTCATGTCAAGATGTTAAAGGAAAGGACCAATAGTTTCTAATGTGAATGTATATGCTGATTGAAGAGGCTTCAAATGGAATTAAACACCTTGTATTAACATACTGTGAAGTTAATCGCAAAAAAATAAAACCAAGGTAAATTAAGTGCATTTTTCATGGTAATTTTTGCATGACTGAAACAAGTCCCAAACAATCTGAAAATTAGGAGCAATGATTAGTCAATTAGCTTGTTAAATGAATTAATCAGCATCTATTTTGAAAATTCTTAATCTAAAATCTTAATCTTGTTGCTTGATTTGCTGCTTTTCCTGGTCTTACATTATACTAAACTGAATAATTGGTGGTTTTCAACTCTTGGTCAGAGAAGACATTTGATGAAGTCAACTTGAGCTCCAATGAATTGTGACACTCATTTTGCGCAACCTTTGCTGCTTAATCGAGAAAATACTCAACAGATTAATGGATACTGGAAATAATTATTTGTTGTAGAGTGACTGGAAATATACAGGTGATTTACAATTCTTCCTTTCTAGCTTGACATTCATGAAAAGGTTGGCAGGTATTTCACCAAGAGAACTATGTGATGTCGACAAAAAAATCCACCATTACACACTGAGAAACCAAACATTTCTACATAATTAATGATTTTTAAGCCTTATACTGCTTTTTAATCCTTATACTGTTGCCAGAACTGGGACAAGATGAGAGGATGTAAGAGAGATTAAAAGCCACTGGCCCTGGTTATGAAAGTGTTTGGAGAAGAATAATCTTGTTGGAAGCTCAGTGACAGTAGTGAGAAGTCAAGCCTGCTGCTGCTCACAACAGTAACAGGACTCCTCTGCCAGCTTATTAAAATCATCAATGGGTGAGGGAGGAGTCTCGGGGACAGGTGACAGCTGGCTCTGCTCCAAGTGGGATCCCCCACCCCATAACCGCAACTGGTGGGAGTGGATAAACGCCCAACAAGGCTCACCGAAACAAAAGGTAGGATCCTGCGTCACCACACACACACACTCTACACAGCTGAGAGATTACGTAACAGCTCAGGGTCTTAAATATAGAGCGCCAGTTTCACTCAGTCACTCCCAACTTCCATCGGCCTGGGAGAGAGGTTAGTTCAAATACACTGCACAGAAGGGTAAAGGAGTCAAACAGCAGGCTGTGTTTAAAAGAAACATGTGAAATTCTTGATGTACAAATGGCTTAACATTCTCTTAAGTCAACAAATCTAACAACATGACCTGGCTGGAGGAAGAAATACTGTTGAAGGCAAACTCACATATGTTTTGTGTCTGTTAATGACACGCAACTGCTATATGGAAAAACGTGAAAATCTTGTAATGAGCATTTATTGAATCCACATTTCCACACCCCACACTGCACTTCTATGAATCAAATTTTGATATTTAACCATTTCAACACAGTAAAATCTACAGATAATAAAATCAAATTTCTCCCCAAAAAACTGATATTATCTGAACACCATGAGACATCTACATTTATACTGTCCTTGCTCTCAACATGCGAATCACATGATTTTCAGTAATAGTTCAGGGACAAAACATTTTATGGTCAAAGAATGTTATGTAAGAACAAAAAAACAGCTTACTAATAAATCTCCTGAGCAAAGATTACAACTGATAAGAGAGAAAGGGTGAGTGTGACATAGGTTAGCTGCACATAATTACAAGACCGATAACAGGGGCACAAAACCCCTTGGTGTGTACAGAGTTCAAGGAAGGATACCACCCCAGTCACTGATTACTTGCAATAGGAAAGGAACAAGAAAACAGAAGCTGATATGAGGGTCATTAAGTGTATGTAGTCTAGGCAGAGAGGTCAGTGGAGTAAGACAGTAGGTTACAGTCAGTGGAAGGTTACTTTATCACTGGTGAGCAGCCAAGCATACTAATCAGTTAACTATTAAAGCAATTACCATTCTATAATCACAAGCCTAAAATGGAAAGATCTGCCAAAAGACATTAGGTATTTTAAACTGATGTTAGATGCCTGATTCCCCACTAAAGCAATTGAATGTACGGTATTAAATCTCAAGTGTTGAATTGCCGTTTAAGATTAAGATAAAATATAAGATATTTTGGACGTCATTAAATGATGTGACATTAGATAACTTGATGAAATCTTAACGTGAAGGTCAACAGGGGTGGGGAGAAAACACAAAGTTGAAGCTGAATTTAAAAGCAATTACAGTGTCTGTAACGGGTCTAAAACATTTATATCTTACTATTTAGAAAGAAAGGGAAAAGTTAACACGGTCTAGTAACTGCTGGTTAAAGAAACATGGTCCAGGCTGTGACAATACCAGGCCAGCAAAAAGATCAGTAGTACGTTAGCTAACAAGACAGAAGTTCGCAAACAGTACAACTCAACAGCATCATTTTATATTATAGCAAGGAGAAAAGACGACTATTAAAACAATTTAAACTGTTTTATCAGTTATTAGCCGCGCACCTGGCCAACTGCATTTCACAATGTGGTTGACAGGGCTAAGCTGGCTAACGTTAACTAGCCTACCATTCCGTCGTTAGCCGTTAGCTTCCAAAGTAACGGCCACAGCTTTGACTGACAAAGACGGCATCGAGGTAATTTTTCGTCCTCTTACCTTTGAATTGAGGAGTTTAGGCGCTAGCCTGCTGACCGTCAGGAAGGACATTGTATCTGTGTAAAAGTGTTATTTCCACTTATTCTTCACAACTAGGGACGCCGCTGCCAGTGCACCGCGGAGTTGGTTGAAGGTGCCCCTCCAGAAAGCAGAAGGTTGAAGAGGGATTCAGGCCTGCAAGTAGCAGTATTGTTCATTGGACGATGCGCCGGATCGCTACAACGGCGTAGAGGGATCTGATTGGCTAGAGTACTACAGGGCTAATGCTGATTGGATAGAGGCAATTCTTCTGTATGTGACGACAGCTGGTGATCAGGGTCTGTTCAAGAACAAGTTTTATAAAGCCTGTGCATAGTTCCATTGAGTTAAATAAAAGTACCGCGATACTGAGCAAAGTTCACGAAGCACCTGCTCTAAATGACTCTCTTGTACTTATCTTTATATATAAAGTTTATGTGCAAGTACTCCCTTTGCTCAGGTGTAATTAAAGAGCATATTGTGATTCCAATTCAATGGACTCTGAGCCCAACCCCCTGATAATGACAAGTCTCAAAATGTGGTATCAAGATCAGTAACATAGTGACTTCATTATCTGAGCTTAATTACAGCCTCATGAAAAACAATATACTGTCTAGTCTTAGATAAAACTAGTGCTGTCTAATACAACAGTCCTGCAATAAATCCTCCCTTCATGAAGGTTATAATGTTCAGTTTTTGTTTAAACTGTTTCAGAGGAGTTGATTCAACTGTATGCTCATCTTGAAGGCTGCAGTTTGTGGTGCTGTTGAAAATTGCATCATTCATAGAGGTGTTTCTGTTATTTTAGCCTACATCATTGATGGGATGTACAAAATAAAGAAACACCTGTTTGTCTAATAACACAGTTCAACAGCACTACAAACTGCAGCCTCAAAAATGACAAAACCTTTTGAAACAGGTTCAACAAAAATTGTACTGTAACTTCCATGAGGGGAGGATTTATTGTCAGACTGCATTAGTTTTTGCTACGTGTTCCTAATAACTGAGCATATATATTATTTATATCTGTAGTGGCATGTTCTTGGCATTTGTTATTGGCATATGTTCACTTTTAATCAGTGTTGGCAGATTCTATATAATGATCCATTTCAGACCCGCTTTGGATAACCTAATATCAGTGGCCCTAATCTTTGTAGCCATTTAGAGCAATAATAGCAGATAATATTTGCTGTGAATGCCACAGTGGTACTTTAGCAGAGACCAAAGGCAGAATTTACCAAGTGTTAACACATGACAGATTTCATAATTATCCCTCCAAATGGCTCTGTTAGACTGCAGCTGTGATAATTAGTGAAGGAACCAAAATAAAATTTGCTGTAAAACAAGAAGATCAACCTTTATTGTCAAGGGTTATTGGAAAAAAGGAGTAGCTGGTTGTCTACTGAGGGCATTCATTTTCAAACCCACTGCATGCGGTTTACCAGTGTGGTTTGGTTCATAGTTTGATGATCAAGCCCACTACCTTTGTGGGCTGCAATGTAATGGCTCATCAGTTTGTCCAAAGAAATAATTTAATTCTGCAATACACAAGAATGATTAAAATGCCAAGATGTATAAAAACAGAAACATACTGTACTTCCAAATACAGTACACAGACAGACCTACATAGATGTTGCAATATTTCTTGAATCAGAGCTTGTGGTGTTAATAGTTCCAGTTGCATACTCATTCTTAATCACATAATGCAAGTAATGCTAATAAAACCAGTGGATAAAGTCCACAAAATGTATTTGGCACATTTAGAATGCTCCATATGCTTCATCTAACTTCATTTAAGCCAGGAACACACAGTACAAAAGACCCAAAATAACTTAGATTTTACGATGACATCTTAAAGATTGTAGAGAATGCGCCCAGGCCAGTGACCTGTAGGGCCAGTTTGAATTTAAGATCAAATCTCCTGGATCAGAGTTGTCCCAGTTGTTTGATTTTGTGTCATTAGAATCTGCATAAATATAAATGTCATCCTGTTCTCTAAGCTGGCTTATTCAGAACTCTGTAGTAATGCTCAGGTATTATTTCTTAGTCATTAAATGTCTTCTGAGTCTTCTCACAGGATCAGAAAGGTTTTTATAAGTCTTCTCGTGTGTTCCCGGCTATTGGCGGATTTTGATCTATAACCCTGATGGGCGATATTTAAAACCTGCAAAACACAGAAAATGCAGTGTAAACTAATCCACGTCATGCAGCCATTACGACATGCATGTATTAAAATCTTTGTAAACTTTTGGCAGAATCAGTAGCCTTCTAGTCCACATCATCTCAAGTGACATTTGTAAACAAACAGCGTCTCAAACATACAGTATAACAGAAATAATTGTGTGCAACAAGGTATACAGTACATAAATTTTTCCAGACGTTATAGGAGGTGATCTGATGTGTTTGGTCCCCACTCCTGTGCTCTTGTGCCTGGTAATCTGACCCAAGGTAATGCATAAGATGGCATACAGTCCTAAGAGAGTCTTTCCAGAAGAAGGAAAGGGAAACTCTGGGCTCAGTCATCTTCCTCCTCTTCATCTTCTATGGGATCTAGGAGAACGCTGTGCTTCATGCAGTTTTGGAGGTAGTTCACCACTGTCCGCTGGAAGTGCTGGACGCTGCGGGGCTCTCTCAGGACATGACCCTCGTCTGGGTACAGCTGCAGTGAGTAGTTGGCTTCCACCTTCACCAGTCGGCTCAGGAGCTCAGCACTGTGCTGGAAGTGTACCCTTGCTTTGACCAAATACACACACATAGGGGTGTAAAAAAAAAAAAAATAAACCCACAAAAGGAATTCTAAAAAAGCAGAAAATTGAACAGAAATCTCACCATCTGCAGTTCCATGTAGAATAAGGAAATTCTCATCTTTCAGCTTGTTAACCTCCTCCAGCAAAGAGGCAGTCTGAAAAGATACACCACAGCAATATGAGTGCTTTATTGGGTGTACCTATCTAGCTGAAACGGATGCAGTCTAACACAACAGCCCTGCAATAAATCCCACCTTAATAAAAGTTTTAATGTTCATTTTTTATTGGAATTGTCTTAGAGAGGCGTTAACTAAACTTTATGGTCGTCTTGGAGGCTGTAAACCGTGGTGCAGTTGAATTGTATTGCATTATACTGAGTGGTGGTGTTTGTATTTTTTAGTCCGCCCTCACTGATTTAAATGGGGTGGATAAACAATTAGAAACACCTCTAAGTATAACACGATACAATTCAACTACACCACAAATTAAAACAGCTGAAATGACTGTAGAGTAGAATCAACACCTCTCTAAAAGGGTTTCAACAAAAACTAAACTTTATAACCATCATGAAGACAGGATTTATTAGAGGACTGCTGTATTAGGCTGCATTAGTTCTGAGTAATCCATTTAATTTACAACTGAGTGCAAATCCACAGGCATTATTATTAATTTACAAAAAGCCATTTACACCTGAATAGATGAGCTTTAGAGCCTCACCGAGTAAGCGTGCTCCTCCTTTGCTGGAAGGCCTAGATATCTCTCCGAGAATGCAGCACCTGAAAACAGTGGAATAAATGGTATTCTCCAACATGAACTGTTTCTCTGATTCATTGCAATTAGTATGGTCTCAACACATGAATAGTTGATGACATAACTGCAACTCACTATAAAGCCTGAAGTCAGTTATTGGTGCCATGGCAGCTGTGCATTGAAAGAGCTTATCTGTTGCAGCTAACATCTTGAGAGTTAAGTAGCCACCAAATGCCTGTAGGGGAAACAGAAAAGCGCCTAAACAAACAAAGCACGTGATAGTGTTTATGGATTCAACAGAAAGGAATTGAGTTAACAAATTAAAAACATGCGGTAACCTTTCCATAGAGGGCCATCCGACGGTCATCAATATATGGCAGTTGCATCAACAACCTGCGGAAACATCATAAAAGCCTGTTAGGTTATCAGTTCACAGGCTTTAGCAACACGTGTCAATCAAACAACCTTATGTTGTTGTATAACTGCACTGACTCTACAACTCCCAGATAATCTTTGACTCTAAGTGAGCCAAGCTTGCGTGGATCCACAGCAGTGGTCTTCTGTCCACGGCCAACCCCGCTCCTGCCGTCCACCCAGGCCAAGGCCACGCTTTGTGTGCTGGAGAGGACCTGAGGCCAGTCAAGGACAAATTCCTCCGTCACCGACTGACTGCCAGGAACGCCGTCTCTGAGCAACGAGACGAACAGGATCAGCTAGCGTGGTGACAGTTGTTAGGAATGGAAGAGTGGCGAGAAAAAGTCTATGGGTCATAGGTTGCAAAACAGACGACATACACATCCCTGTTGCCTTGCGTGCTTGTTCAGTGATACTTACACAATGATGAGGAGAGGGTGCAGGTTGGCCTCGTAACCCTGAGGTAGAGATAGTTTCAGGTGCAGATCTGAGGAGAGCAAACAGGGATTGGAAAAGGTTGACTCTTCACTGACATGTTAGGATTACTGCTACATTTAAGAGCCTGAAAATACACCTGAACCTCTGCAGCACTTATTTTAAACAAAAAAACAGAAGGACACGAAAAATCATTCACAACCACCTGAGGGCACACATGACTCACGCTAATAACCTAATCACCAAATACAATAAGTGATTGCTTTAATTAGTACTTAACCATATTAGTCCCTTCCTGACCGAGATACTTGCAGCGTGTGCTCCACTGTCGCTGCTGAATATAGTCTGACTGCTTGAGAAAGGGACTGCAGGTGATCTGTGAACGCTTTGTGGCGATTAACCTAAATGTAACTGTGACCATTTCATTTAGCTCCTTAATAACACGAGAGCCAAAACAAATAATATATGTATATATATATATATATATATCCAATGGTTTCTTTGTTGTACCATGGTTGTCTGCTGGGAGTGTCCTGAACAGAGTCTCTGGGAGCCTCTTGTCCTCCAGGGCTTTAGACAGAGGGCTGTTATCCTCCAAGATGACGTATCCTACAGGAGATAAAACACCACTGTGTTATGTTATTCACCCTAAACATCAAGACAGACACAGGAGCCCATCAGGTTGTAGATCAAATCCTTATCATCTCCATGTGAACGGCTCTGACTGAGAGCCACAGACAGAGGGCAGTGTTCACAAGCAGGAAATGGATCAATCTACTTTCTGGTCTTCATGAATATATCGCCTCCTGCAGGC